AATGATGTATAAATATGTTGTATATCATATATAATGATAAAATGATGTTATTATGCATGTGTTATTGATGATGATGAATTCAATGTTTTATGATGAAATCATGTGATATTCAAAATGATGAAAAAATAATATATGTGTTGGATTAAAAATGGAAATTGAATGGGGATTTGATATGTTATCAATAATTATTAAATTTAAATTATGTTAGATAATGTTTGTATGGGTTGGTTAAATAATCAATTGTGGGATTTTATGAATTGTTAATCATGTGGGGTCAATGTGCATGTGTAATGGTTATTCAAATCATGATGTTGATGTTGTGTAATGACAACATTGCTGATTGTAGTTGGAAATTTTGTGATTTATGGTGATTTTGGGTGTCAAAATGGAACTGGGCAATGTTTATTAATGGAATGGGATATGGATCATTTTTATATTTAATGGGTTATGGTAATGAAACAATGGGATGTATCAATTTTATGGATGGTCATTAAAAGGCATTTATGTGTATATATTTTGGATTGTGAAATATGGTGGTAATTCAAATGTGAAATGACTGTAAATATGTGAATGATGTATTGGGATATGATGTCTTGTGATATGTGGGTGTTTTTCATTGGTGATGGATTGTGATATGTGATATATGGTTATAAATGATTTAACATTTTGCTGTTCTCTGATATTGGAAGCTTGAATATAATGCATGATGAATGTGTGTCATCAGTCCAATGGAATGGTTGGGAATTATAAATGCATATGTTGTGGTTATTTAAATATTTAAAATGGAATCATATTTGCATATATATAAATAATGATGAATATTCCCAATGGGGAATATCATGAAAAGTAATAATTGAATTATGGATTTATTTGTTAATAAATTATATGTCAACCTTGATGTATTTATATATGATTTTTATTGTGTCAATATATTTATTCTTCCATAAAATTATTGTTTTGTTAATAATTTTTGTTTTATACAATCAAATTAGGGGTTATCATGTGTATATTTTTTTTGGTATGGGATTGATTATTTATGGTGAATGATCATTTTTCATAAATGTGTTAAATATATTGGTATTCGCCCAATTTGAACATTGGTGTAATTGTGGTGTCTATTTTTTTCATTATGATTGGGAATGCAGTGGTGTGAATGATTGTGAATTAAATATTGTTGTGGAAATTTATGGGTGATACACAAAAATTTTACTCATGCTATGGGGATGTGAGATGATATTTGGGTTATTTGGATGGTAATGTTAACCTTATAAACAAATTAAAGGTATGCTAGACGATATCTCTATGGACAAGCTAACCCATACATCGAACGATATCATTACAGCACGGTTGACATCGGTCAGTGTAGAAGAGGTACATCACACTAACATTATTATAATGGCAGTATTCACTAAGTAGCTAGCTAGCTATATATATACGAACGGGCTACAACACTGTATCACCAGCCTAAGCCTGGCCTAGCAGTAGAGAGTCACACAGACGCCCTGACTTAATGACATACCAGAAAACCCAGCGGCATAACCTTTGTATGAATATCGCATAAAGAGTGACTGGGCAGACAGCGGAAGTGCGATTCGGTCGGGATACGTCGACGTCCGATCGCTCAGCACAGTATACATAATATACGTGACAAATATCCGCGTACTACAAACGGCACAACAAAATACGGCTCAGTCTTTGACATCGTTATGGACACTACAACTACTATGGCTATCTGCTATACGTCTCCGCCCCCCAGATCCTTACGTTCCCCAGCAGAACCCTCCGCTCATTTTTTCCCTCTGTTATCGACGGAGGTGACCAAGTCAATCGTTTGTGTCTTGTCGCAAGTCACTACGGTAGGTCGGTGGACTCTTCATGGGTCGGCTAACTTTGCGCGTGTGAGCAGCATGCGCCGAGGCAGACCTCGTTCCCAGGCGTATTGCACCACGTACAGAGCGGTACCAAAAGCAAATGAACTGCAATGCTCTTTCTATATTTTATTGGCGAGCGGAGCGAGCCGTCGTTCGAGCGGATTTTCGGCGTCGTTGGTACGTCGTGTAAGTGCGCATGCGCGGCTTCTTAACGCGCTTCTTTTTATCCGAAATCATTTTCCACACATTCAGCACCACACGCTGCCATATGCGCCGATCTGCCAGAGAATTCTCCTCCATTCGACGGCATGCGATGCAACCTTCGGTGACTGACCGAGGCTGTACCTCTTCCCAATTTTCATGGTTCGAAGGTGCAACTTCAAAGTACGTAGGATTGCTCGTGCTGCATGCACCTGCACGACTCTGAAGGTAAGTATACCGTTCTGCTCACCGCTCACCGTGCTGCCAATTACACGTAACAGCGACAGGTGAGTCTGTCCTTGCTTCACGAAAGGAGACGGCACGTTATGCAGCCCGAAAATCGCGGGCAAATCCCAGTTGGGTCGCTCCGCTCGCCACAATGTTCAACATTTCCACTAGTTGGCGCGGGAGCGAGCCAACCTGTCGTGTCGTTCGAGCGTAGCTCGTGTAAGTCGCATGCGCGGCTTTGTACGCGCTTCTTTTGATCCGAAATATTTCTATTTTTACACATGTTCACAGACGGTGCGCTCGCGATATGGCCAATGCGATCTACCAGGCGAGAGAACTCTCCTCATGCGTTCTGCTCACCTGCTCACCGTTCTGTCGATGTACAATACGCATGCAACGGCGACAGTAATCTGTCTTGCTTCACGAAAGGAAAGCTGTGTGCTGCTGACGGCACGTTATGCAGCCCGAACATCGCGGGGCAAAACCCCAGTTGGGTCGCTCCCGCTCGGCCCGAACAATGTTTAACATTTTCCACTAGTATACGACCGACCGTCGTCGGTCGTCGTACGTCGTGTAAGTGCGCATGCGCGACTTCGTTACATACGCACGTGTGTTTATAGTAGTCTGACAACTGTGGCAACCATGGATCGTCAGTCTACAGAGGATGCCCTTTCGTCGAAGAGAGAGGGAAAGAGAACGTCGTACCCGTGAGACTCCTGAGCAGAGAGAGGCTCGGCTTTCTCAACAAAGAGAACGTCGCGCCCCGTGAGACCTCCTGAGACGAAGAGCTCGGCTGCCGACGGCGTGATAGGGAACGGGCAAGGGAACGCCTCGCCGCCGAAACAGCGGAAGAAGGGGAAGCACGACTAGCGAGTCGTCGTGTACAAGATAGAGCTAGACGCGCTGCAGAATCATGGGAAACGGAACAGGTCAGGCTCACACAGTTCCGAAACTACCAGGCAAGACGAATTGCTGCCGAGTCCAGCGGGGTGAGAGAGGCCCGCCTGCAACAGGTACGCAGGAATCAAGAGCAGAGAATTGCTGCTGAGTCCGGCGAGGAGAGAGAGGCCCGCCTACAGCTGATACGACTTAACCAACAACAACGGATTGCCTCAGAGACTCCACAAGAGACTGAAGCAAGACGTCAGCGTGACCGACAAATTCACATGCAGCAGCCACTTCAACCCAACCTCAACTTCACCAGCCAATTGTACAATCAAACTTTTTGAAGTACTTTCAACACCTGTATACACATTTCTTGGTTATTTTACTGCTGGCCATGGGCTCCTTGTTGGCGAGCGGGAGCGAGCCAACCTAGTCGTCGCAACGGGCCGATTTTTCATCTTTGATACGTCGTGTAAGTGCGCATGCGCGGCTTTGAACGTTTTTTTATCCGAAACTATTTCCTAATTTTTCACACGCGGTGCCTCGCCGATCGATCGGATCAATGGACCCAACGCGCAACGACGTCCGGAAGCCGCACAAGTGACCGCGCCCCCACGGCCCACACACAAGTCACGCGCCATAGGCCACGCCCCCAAACCATGCTCACGCACAAAAAACGGGAGGGGCTGCTAACTGAAACTCTTGCAAATCCACAGGCTATTTTTCGAAAAACGTCCATGGGAAGCCTAGCAGCACCAGAATAGACACTTTACGGCGGGTTTGCAGCTTCCTCTCCCTTTCACGAGCTCGCCTGATCAGCAGATCGCTTGGTTCCAGACCAAGGGCCTTAGAATGGCCTGATTCCTCGAAACAGCAGGCCATAAACATGCTGTAGAGCAAAATGGCCTGTTCAATCAGGCCCTTGGTCTGGAACCAAGCGATCTGCTGATCAGGCGAGCTCGTGAAAGGGAGAGGAAGCTGCAAACCCGCCGTAAAGTGTCTATTCTGGTGCTGCTAGGCTTCCCATTGGACGTTTTTCGAAAAATAGCCTGTGGATTTGCAAAAGTTTCAGTTAGCAGCCTCTCCCGTTATTTGTGCGTGGGCATGGTTTGGGGGGCGTGGCCTATGGCGCGTGGGGGCGCGGTCACTTGTGCGGCTTCCGGAAGTCGTAGCGCGCTGGGTCCGTTTTCTACACTTGATCCCACCCACCGAGCTGATCCTTGTGCGTGCGGCGGACCTGGACCGGACACGATGCCGACACTGCGCATGCCCACAGTCCTTCCGCCCCGCCCTGCCATAACTGTTCGCGTGTTAACATCGTTTAACTAAACTCCCAGTAAAAATCAATTATATTGCATTCCTCAGCTATAAAGTGGATAGCTACTAAGTAGCATAATAATTATAATAGATAGCTATAGTGCGCACACACGTCGGGGTCCTTGGAAAAGAGGTGTGCCAGTTATTATCCGAAAGGTCAATGACCTCACACCCACATTAAAAGACGAAATTTAAAATTTCCGCCAAAGATTGATAATAAATACAGTTTTATTGGAAACCGTTGTTTTATTGCCACCTTGTCTTGATTTCTCATGCAAGGCTGGGGTTTTTATGGTGCACTGCCATATCGAAACACACAAGACATGGGTTAGCTCCAGCTACAGTAGATTTTGGTAGGTTTATCCATTCCGGTTCCCTTTGCTGGAATTGTGAGCAGTCAAACTGTGGGATATTAATTAGCCCTTACACAATGACTGCTACTTGAGTAAGAAATCACTTCCTAACGGTGTGAAGGTCGAAACGTAACCGAAAACATCATCGGTCGTCAAAAAATAAAATAACTCAAAACATAGGTAGCTCATACATGGTCCCATAATAATTATAATAGCAACTCTGTCTGTGGTGTTCCTGACGGTGTTCTTCTTCCCTTTTGTACTTTCCTGGCAGAGTCATGCGTGTCGGTTGAGTAAACAGGTGGCGCTGACAAGTGCTGATTAGGCAATCCGGGGTTACTCTGTGTGGTAGTGTGTCGGAATACTCTGTCGAATGGCGTGTGGGTCTTGACCGATGGAGGTGGGAGTACCCATAGGTGCGTGCTGGAACAGGGCAGACGGCTGCTGGTTGTACTGTCTGTACGGTGGGCTCCTTCCAGCCGTATGTGGCATGAAGTACCGTGGCCGGACGACCATGTGTGGGTACGGTGAAGGGTAGGAGTTAGAGTGTCCATAGGGCAGGCTCAGTGCTGGTGGTGGAGTCACTGCAGGAGCCTGAAGAATGCCAGGGCTTGCATTAAAGTTGGGGAAGCCAGAAGGATACCGGGGATAAAGAAAAGGTCCCTGAGGAGATATGGGGCTGTGCTGATGGGCTGCAGTTGAAGTAGGCAGAAATAGAGGATGTGGAGGAGGAGAAAGAGGATTATTTGGGATGAGGGAGCTGTTGGTGTACATCTGAGGCATCACTGGGTTGGGTTTGTGTACCCCTCCCGGTGGGGTCATTTCTCTCCTTTTGGGAGTTGGAACATTGTACACCACTCTTTCTCGAGGATTCATTTTGGTCCCTGGAATATAAAACTTAAAGAGCTAACACAGGAAAATGTCAAACATTAATCTCACTCTTCTCTTGATTCCTAGTCTTTTGTTGAGTGCTCCGCTGAGGTTGAAGTTGATCTGCAAGGTTATCCAAATCACATTCATGCTACTTTAGTGACAATCCCCACCTTTTTTGGGACATTCTGATGCCTTGTGTCCCCTGCTTCCACAGGTGTGACACCTCATGAACTTTGGTGGTCGTGTTTCTCCCTTGAGTTCCACAGGATCCATTAGTTGTCTCTATCATAATTATATAGAAAGACAAAAAGTGTATTGGTATATACAATATACACAAATTAACCCCTCAGCGTGAATGCCCAGCAAGGTATATACAGTATCAGCCTGTGTGAGCCTTTATAGCATCTTACTTACGTGTAGAGGTTTGCAACCAGCTATGCAAACCATACTTCAGCTGCAGAATCTCTAAAAATGATCGATATTATGTCAACTATATTATTGTTGACAAAGGGCAGTGCACAATCACGTGGCCAAATCTGGGGAATAATTGGCATTTCTAGGAAACAAGAATAAAGATGTTAGCATAATAAGTATTAAGAGGGGTTTAAATGTGTACTGCGTATGTGCAGTTAGTAGCCATGCCTGACCAGGCAGACAGGTGAACCTGGTCATGCTGGTTGTGGTGGTTGTGTACGTATGTTTAGCTGCTGTCTAGCCACGACCGAGAATGAGTGTTACGATTGCAAGAGCATTACCGAGAGTGTACCCAGCGACATTTCGTAAGCGGCAGAGTTGAGCTCGAGTGGTACCATTTCCTAACTCCTGGACTGGCTTTGAGCACCTCGAAAGTCTGATCTAGGATCCAAGAGGAAGCTGCCCACCAACTCTCCTCACACTACAGCACAGATGCCTCAAATACTGCCAAAACATTTGCAGTTCGTTTTCATGTCCCTGAAAAAACATTTCACATTTCAGCAAAGCTGTATATACATGCCCGGTCATTTGATAAGAAGGACTTTGTCATTTCAAAATGTGACTTTGCTTGAGTCGTCAAGACTCCTTTCGAACGAGTGTTTTCAGTGTTCAACATGAAAGCAAATGTGGCATTGACCCATTTGACCCTGATACCATAGACAAAAGAATTTGCCATCACTCCAGTCTTCCAGTTCCTCCACAGATGAGTTGTTGAAGAAAGTTGAGAAGGCAAGGGCGGGAAAGGAAGAGAAAGGAGTGAGAAGGGAAGAAAAAGCAGGTGGTGCCACAGCTCGAGTGAGGACAAACCCTATGAGGAGGTTATTTGCCAATCGCCAAGCCGTTTGGCTCGTACTGGCAATGCGATGTGGGGATGAATCTTATTAGTTCAGAACCACAAGTGCTGCGCCTGAGCAAAGCCTTGTGGGGATGAATCTCATTAGTTCAAAACCACAAGTGCTGCGCTCAACTCTGCCTTTATAAACTCGTGATGCCAGAGAGAGAAGTTGCGGTATGCTTTGCTGATGAGGGCTAACAAGCCCGAAACAGCTGTCCAGAGCTCCGCATCTTTTTTCTCTTGGCATCACATGGTCTATTGTTACATGCTCAGTCCAGGTACAGGGATGACAGTGAGAGTGAGGAGAGTGACACCGCGTGCATTGAGAGAGAGCCCCCCAATTACAGCGGGTATGGATTGTCAGCTGTGCGAAGAGTGAACTCAGGTGGCATGAACGGAAAATAGTGCTTCCCGGGACCAGTTTTCTCATTAAAGCATCAGAATGCAGAGATACTGCCCAAGTGAAGCCCTGGGCCATATTTTGCTGTGAGTGGTCTGGGTGGACTGTGACTGCTGTGGAGAGTGAGTGCACACACACTGCGCTCTGGGACACAATAATGCATCACATCAGTGAGTCATGTTGTCGGAAAAGACTGTTAACTGTTCTTCTTGTGCTCAGTTCCTTTGTTTCTGTTCCACAATGCTATACTGTCTCAGTTTCACGAACTAATGTTGACATCAGTGCTGTAGTAATGCATTGGCGATATTTGAGCGCAGGCGGACATTATCGCCATTCTCAGGTGGCGCTAAAAGGCCTCGGTAATGAGGTAGCGCAAGTGGCTAGACCAGTCTATAGCTACAGCACGCTTCCTAACTACGAAGGTGTGACCAAGTAATAAGGCAGGATATTGCATTTATCACAATCCGTCCGTGGTAGATCGCGAATGGACCACAAAGTGGCGATAATAGATGGAAATACGCTATCCAGAATGTAAAAAATATGGTTTACAATAAAGAATATTTTTGAGACAGTGCAACAAACTAGAGCATTTGGAAATTAGTTGTCGAGCAGAGCGACCTAACCTTATTACAAGATTATTGCGCATGAGCGATTGCATCAACAAAAGCAAACGTGTATTCAGTCTGTCTTTGGTTCTATGAGTCTGGGCTCGATGCCTTTCTTAGTAGAGAACAAAGGGGGAGCGTCATTCTCATGACTCTTCAGTAGAGAGAGGCCCAATGTCGACTGCAGTATAGGGAACGGGCAAGGGAACATCCGTCCATTGAATCTTCGGAGGTAAGGGAGGCGCACATAGCAAGACGTGGCATATGAGATAGGGTGGCAAGAACAAAGGGAAGTGCAACTAGCGACACATCGTATAACAGATACATAGAGCTAGACATGCTGCGCAGAGAAACAGAAAAGCCAGACTTTAACAGATCTGAAGAATTCAGGCAAACCAAATTGCTGCTCAGTCCAGCAAGGAACTAGAGGCTCGCCTGCATCTGCTACGCAGGATCAGAATTGCTGCTGAGTCCAGCACGATAGAGAAGCCGGCTTGTTGCTCCAATGCAAGAATCGAGAGCAGAGAATTGCAGCCAAGTTCAGCTAGGAAAGAGAGGCGCTCCTGTAGCAGTTACAAAGTAACCAGTAACAAAGGTTTGCCTCCGAGACCGCACAAGAGACCTAAGAAAATCACATTTCAAAAGGATTCGTCCGTCATTGTTGTGGAACACTGCAAATTCAAACAGCCTGTCGATCAGACGACTTGGAGGTCCTTTGAAATTCATAAAGAAATTCAATGTTACAAAGAAATTTCTCAGAGAACAAATATTCATCCCCTACATCTACCAACTTACAAGTCTTGTTTAAAGCTAAAATGTCTCAGAAAGCAACATTGCAAACAAAACGAGTCCGTGAATCAGATGTTTTGAACTTTTTAAATTCAATGTAACAGTTTTGCTTGGAGAACAAACTGCAACACATCTCCTACTTCTACTAACCCACACAAAAATCTTGGTTAAAGCTAAAGTTACGAATATTGACCAAACCGCAGTCAAACTTTCAGGTTATGTTACAAAGCAAGAAGTAAGTAATTTTTTCAAGCCCAATATGCCTTACCTTATGGTAAAAAGATTGTGATAGGGTGAGTGATACAAACAGGAGTCGTTGCTAAGCTCTTTGCGATTGCTTGGCCACAGTCAAGCACCCCCGCTGATATCAGAGCTGGGTTAAACAAATGTGGACTCTATCCACTGAACCATGGAGGTATATACACAACCCATAGAGAATTTGCCCTCAACCTTCAATGGCCAGTTGCACGTAGGCGAAGCGCCGGCTGATATTCCTGGAGACAGTACCAGCCTTGAAGTGGTGCAAAGCAAAAACAGCAGGGGTATTTTACCCACAAGGTTTAAATTTACCTTATTTGCAACTAGCTAAAATAACTAGCTAAAGGTCTAAACAGCTGATCATGGTTATAACAACTACTTTGGTTACTACAACCAAATAACTAAGTGAAGTGGTAACTTCAACTACAGTGGTTAAAGCAACCCTGCAGATTATGGATCAAAGCAACTACCTATTAAGTACAGATAATCTTGATTGGTCACAACAATCCCTAATAGCTATAATAACCACATAATTCAAAAGTATACAATAAAAAGTTGTTTTTCCTCTATTGTAGGTTGAAGTGACTACACATGGTTAATGAGACATTATGTCATGAAATGATGTTTCAATGAAACGTATGTCATCTACGGCAACTTGGGAAATTCTCCGCTGTTCCTTCAACTTGAGAAGAAATAATGCACTTGATCTTCGCACTTCTTCCACATCACTCCCAATCAAATAATGCACATCGGGATCAGCTGAATCTAAGAGAATAACTTCGTCCTAGTACTCCCTTAGCTATTAGTATAGATCACATTACCTGACTCATCCAAGGTTAAGGGGTCAGCTCTCGTACTTTTGCTGCTGGTCTTAGGTAGAATGCGCACGGCCTCTTTTCTCTTCTGGACGAAGTCCGGATGATGGCGGTAGACGTGTGAGTACAAGGAAGAAAAGCTCTTCGAGGTCTTCGCACAACCCCCAAGTCCACAGGCTACGCAAAAGTTAGGCTCACTTGCATGAACTGTACGCAGATGACTCAAAACAATACTAACAGAAGGAGCCTCAAAAGAGCACAACGGACATAACTTCAATGCCAGAGCCATTTTGCCGGACTGACACGATGTTTCGCACATGCGCAAAATTCATGTGTTTTTTTTGCCGGCTGACATGTACGTACGGGTAGCTCTCCTATCCTCTGGACGGAGTCTTCTTCCTACTCTCTGCCTCATCCGGCTGCCCGATCGCTTTATCAAATGGCCGACACTCAACCGGTAGAAGAAAGTGTGTTGGAGGAAAGGAGAGAAGAGCCTTGTTTAGACGAGTCCATGACCGTTAAGGAAGTCTCTATATTTCTGCACCGTAATGGCATCCCACATCGTTTTTGTGAAGTATTTGAAGGTAAAATGTGTAACGTTTGTGTCCACTGGGAACATCACCAACATCAGTCAGTCTGGGCATAGCCAGCTGTCTTGCTTGTAGCGGTACACACACGCTGTATAACTGTCTGCAGCTTATGTAGTACTTTTATGCCTTGTCTCTGAGTGTGTGTAACTTTGGTAGGTGTGTGCATGCAGTAGGCTAATTGAGAAGTGTGTGGCCCCCCCCTAATAGTAGTTTTACATCCCCCTCTTCCTTCTCCCCATCTCCTCCCTCTTTCCTCTTTGCTCTTCCCCCCTCTTCTATACTCAGAGAATTATATTGATGGGGCTGTATTCTTAACTCTGACTGAGGCAGATGTTAAAGCAATGATCCCCTCCTTTAGGGCTGGTTAAAAAGATAATGAAACTTGTGCCTAACAAGGAGAAAGAGGTATGTTGTTGCCTGCTAAGCCTTGGGTAATTGGCTCCACCCATTTCTTTGGGTTGGTGGTCTATAGCTGCCATGTGTATTATGTGCTATATATACACACGTTTGAGACAGTATGTAGTTTGGCATGCAGAGCAGTGTAATATTGCAGCCTTTTCTTGTGCGTAGCAAGTTTGTACCAACCGTCTTGAGACCAGTGACACCATAATTGTCCAATTATGTAAAGTGCTGTATCCTACACCCCACCAAAGCGGTTTTGCATGCCTAAATTAATCTCTGTCTGTGCACATGTGCAGTGATACTCGGTTTATGTATCTGTCTATGTGTTTGTGTGTCTGTCACGCGCACAGCCCATCCATACCAGACTTTCGCATGAGTAGTATGTTTTGTGTATAATACTTGTCCACATTTCTAGTGACCCGAGGGTTTTTTACTTTCACTGGGTTGAGTGTTCATTTCTCTCTTTATAGAATAGTCCTAGTATTAGCCAGTCTGAAGCTCCCGTTACACCACCTCATGTTACAACTCCAACTTCTGGTTCTACTGTTTCCGTTATTTTCTTCAAGTGGGACATCCACACCAGTTTTTAACCCGGTGGAGTATGGAGTATGTTCCTGCAATCACTACGTACGGCCAAAAGAGTACGAAGAAAAGTATATCAAGTCACATGGAAGACTTGGATGACACAGGTTTGCAATAGACTCAATGCCTGCACATTTTCCAACCCCCATCGCTCGGAGTAGCTGCCTGGTCGCTGTACGACTGGGTGGGGTAGGGGAGGACATGTGTGCTCATGTACACCAAAACAATTTGTTATGTACACATGGGCCTCTAATGTCATTTCTGACAACTTTTGGAAATGTATGGTTTGTATGGAAGCCCATGGGGTGAATATTGCTCTCTCTGAAGTGATTTTATGTGCCCATGTGTACACAAAAAGGCAAATGCCCTTTTTCCCTGCACACTGTTACATGTCATGGTTTCTTGTGTTCATAACAGTCCTACTTTTTTCACAGATCAGACTTCAAAAGAGTTGACAGCTTTGAAAGTACTTTCGGAAAGTTTGGCTAAAGGCACTGTCCCACATATATGAAGAGTACCAGGTGTGTAAAGTATTGTGTATTTAATTGCATGACCTTGAACTGTATGTACTACGTGTTGTAGGAGATGGAGAGTGTTGAAACAGCTTGCACAATGCCACCACTAAGGCCTCAACCACGGATTGCAGCCTTTGTTGGAGAAAATAGTTGTGACTCTTTTGTTGTTTGTGAGCAACAAGTCATGTGTAAAGTACCAAACCTTAAAACTGCACTTTTCATCGCTTTCGCTTCTTACTACTGTTTCAATTTGGAATACCCGACGCTAGCTAAGAATGTATTTTTCTTCTTTCAAGACTACATACTAGGCCATCCAGATTCCAGAAAGAAATCGGTGGAGGTTATCCTGGAGTTGTATCAGACATTAAACGCAACATTTAAGTGTTTTGTATGTTTGTCATGTGATTCATTTTTTCATCATTATTCTTCTGTGAACGTTATTCTGCTGATTCGTGCGTTGACTCTGATGCGAGTTACAATGGTTCCTTTTTACGGCAGCTGTCAAATTAGTTGTGGGTAGAGAAGTTACTTGCATTTTGTTATTTTAGCCTTGGCAGGGTCATTTTAGTAACTAGTGGGAATCTAAAAAACATACGTAAATGGTTATATTAACCGGAAATCCTTGGTTGTGATTAGCACTATGGCTAGGTTTCGTAACTTCCAAAAAGTTGTTCCAACCTGCTTGATCTGGGATGCATTAACACAAACCACTGGAGAGATAAACTACTGTAAAGTTATATTAGCATGGATCATGCTGGTTGTAATGACCATAGGAACTGGAAAAGGTAATCTACCATTGGTTGTTTTGCCATACCTAATTCAGGTTATGGTCGCTTGCTGCAGGTTTGCTTTAATACAAACCTGGTTCTTTTAGCTTGCAGCTTTGAGGTTAAAACAACTTTCTTCATTGGAAAAAACACTTTTCATAGTTGCTATACCCTTGTTGCATGCAGGTGTAGTTACTTCTGAAATAGGTTGAAATTACCTCAGGATAGCGCTATTATTATGACCTGTAAAATTGTGGGTAGCTTTAACTCAAACAGTGGGTTTAGCAGAGTTGCAAGCGTTTTGACCCAAAATTTTGGGTAGTTCTAACCTAACTGTTTTTGCTGTGATGGCTAGCGTGTAGGGGAGTTACAATGCCTTCATCGTCCAAGAAAGCAGCTTTTTTGTAACCATCTGTTTCGTTTTATTTGGTCACTAGGAAAGCGGTGAAACGAAACATGGGGGTCTTTGGAATGACTGTTCCCATATTTTCCAGGCATTCTTGTCGAAGTCGCCACCATCCAGATATCTCTGTCTGTATCTCTGCAACTGCTGGCTCGATTTCTATTGTTCGAACTGCTGCGTAAGCAAAAAAAGTTCAACTTTTCCTTATATGACGTTAAAACAGATAGAGCGGGACCGGTTTAGTGCATAGCTGATTCGAATCGACCAATCAGATTTGTTAGTACGAGGTTCCTGATTTCTCATATGAACCTCGTGAGCTAACAAAAGTAGCTAACATGAAAACATGATATGAAACCTTGTTTTTTCTGTTGATTTTCAACAAGTTCAACAGCATTTCATGTAGGAAATGTATCCCGCAAAACATGATCTGTACAAAATGTTGATCAAAATAACTGATATCTTGATTTTCTTTTTCCACAAGACAGTTTTCTGTGTCTGCTTTGAGCCCATCTCCCTCCTTGCCATGTACATAGTAGATAGCCAGGCAGCTCACGCCCGCCCACAAACCACACCGCACGCAAATAAGGGGTGGGGCTCCGCGAGCCGACAAAGCTACTAAGTCTACGGCGAACGCCTTCGGTATAGCAGCCCGCACAGCGCCTGAATTCTCCACAGTCTCGCCTCTCTCTGATTGTGATGGTTCGCGCAGGTCTCCTGTCGCGTTTCTTCGGATGAGTGGCGGAGGACAGTCCCACAGCGGGAGCGTATCCTAGCGTTCGGCGTTCAATAGTCCCGCACGAGATGACGGTCTTGCGCTCTCGTCTCTTTTTCGCATCTTTCAAATTCCCTCTGCTTGGAAACGCGGCTGTGCGCGTATACGGAGCTGATTTGCTCTGCACTAAACATGTTATGTACTCCGTATACTCGGGACATACCGGATTTCAATGAACCCTCAAGCCCTCCGCGTAGTGCCCTCGCTGCGCTCGGGACACTACAAACGTGGAGGCACTCGGGTTCAGTATGTCCCTCGCACGTAGTACATTTATAAACCAGGGCCGCTCAAGGGCCAGCGCAGCATGGTATATAGTCAATACATTGAGATGTAGTACGGATGTGACGTAAAACGCAATGGCATTCCTCAGTCCTATTGCCTCGTCTTCTCTGACTGAAGTAACAGGTTAGACCGAGGCCCCGTTGGGAGATTACAACATGTAACATGAAAGATGATGACTACCTCCCTTGGCTGAGGGGACGACATCCAGGATCTGACCCTACGGAATGCCAACATATTTAGTAGTCGTTTAGCAACATTTGAATACCCTCTACTGCACCATCATCACGAAACAGCACTCCGAGGAACATTCTAATGCACAGTGGAAAACGAAGAGAGTAAAAGCACGGTTGCACAGAATTTGCAAAGCCCAATCTGAATTGACGAGAATTCATAAGAAAGCAGAGACGGAAGACTGTCTTACTCTCAGTTGTTTTTTGTGATCGGCAGACCACGATGGTTGCATGCCATTCTCTATCCATTACATTATGGCAGCATATTTTCGTAGCAAATATTCAGCAAAAAAGAATTATGCCGGCATAACAACGTGTTCGACATGTGTGCGTTAAATGGAATGTGCGCGGAATGTGCAAGTGGTATGGTTGAAGGCGAACGTCCCGCGGGGTCAACCTCGTACGTCGACAGTACTTCATCGTCTGAGTCTGAAGATGGTGATGGGTCTCTGTGCAAAACAGGAAACGGAAGGTTTTGAGTAACCCAGGTCGTGGGAAATGCTGGTGTTCGTCATCCTCCACTAGCTCGGAGCCTAAGAGAGTTACTCCACAGCAAAGAAGCAAAGAATTCCCAGGTGAACAGCTCGTTATGTCTAGCCATAAACTATTTTGTAAAGCATGTCGAGAAGAGCTAAACCTGAAGCGCAGTACAATACAGAATCAAGTAAGAACGGTGAAGCATGTGGAAGGGAAAAGAGAAAACGGCCAAAGGGGAGCGAAACATTGCTATTGCCTTAAAGGCTCACAATGCGAAGGATCTTGTGCTGGGGGAGCACCTCCCTGAGGCACAGCAAGTCTTCCGTGTTAAAGTAGTCTCAGCCTTTCTTCGAGCCAGAGTACCACTTTCCAAGCTCCAGTTCTTTAAAGAATTGCTCGAGGAGGGTCGGTATCGCCTTACTGAGGCACTCTCTATTTGATCTTGTTCCATTTATCCAAAAAAGAGAAAGAGGATATTGCAACCGGAATTGCTGGGCGCGACATAATTATCTATCATTCTTCACGGTACATGCTATATAGGTGAAGCACTTTGTACAGCCGTTAGGTATGTTACTGATGACTTGTCCATTGAGCAAAGGCTAATAGCATTGAGGATGCTTCAGAAAAGCCTAGCAGGTGGAGAGACCGCACATGAATTGATCTCAACACAGTACCATGTTACTCCCACTGCTTTGCTGGCTTGCACGAGGGACAGAGCAGCAACAAATACCGTTGCACTGAGAACCTTAAAAGTCGTTTACCCCAACATCGTTGACATAGGGTGTCTTTCCCACACTATATAGACCATGTGGGGGGAAAATTTGAAACACCGGTGTTAGATGAGTTCATTTCTGCCTGGATCAGTTTGTTTGCTCATAGTTTTAAAACCAAGGCCCTTTGGCATGACCAAACGGGAAGAGCAATGAAAAGCTTCAGTGCTATGCGATGGTGGAGCCGGTGGGAAGTCAAGTCATAGGACAGGTACTTGAACAGTTTGGTGATCTTGATCCATTTTTGAGGCGTGATGACATAGGATCTCCTGCAACCTCGTCCAAGCTCAGGAGCATTCTCTCAGATTCAGGCAAGAAAGTGTACCTCCAGATAGAACTTGCATCTGTAGTAGACTGTGGAAAACACTCTGTATCTGGAACCTAAACACTTGAAGGTGATGGGGCCCTGTTCTCTTCATGCTATGAGGTGATTGAGAAGATTCAAGCAGCAATTCACACAGGTTACACACCGAATGTTGAGACGGTTGTCAGAAACCTTAGCACTGGGGTGCCACATCGAGAAGCGCAGTTTAGAGCTTATTCACAAAAGTGCACACAACCAGGTCTATAGACTACTTCGACAAAAAATCTGAAAGATGCCCTTGCTGTGTTCAAGGCCGCCAGGCTGTTTTCCCCACATACAGTGAAGAGATGCAGCCTAGAGCAGTAGATATTGATTCTCTTTCTATCATTCCCTTCTTGAGTCAGCAAGAGACTCTTTCTGGCCTCAAAGAAGAACTTCCTACTTACCTTTCAAAGTGTTAGACATTGGATCACCTGTCACTGACATAGAATGGTGGAAGATGAACTCCGAAAGTCTTCCAAAGTAGTCAGCCGACAGATCCTACTGATCCAACTGTCTTCTGCCGCTGCTGAAAGGGTTTCACTCCTCACCTCCTCTTTCTCTGAGCAGCAGATACATTCTTTGAATGACTATGTTGAAGCATCTATAATGCTGCAGTATAATCAGCACTGAATCTCCATGAAACCCACTGACCACTAATATTTAGTGCCACCTACGTATCATTCTACTGACTATTCAACTTTCAATGACATCATTATTATAACAAGCATAATTGGAACAAATACTAGCATAAATAGGAGAAATAGAGGGCATAATAATAATAATAATATTATTATTAATAATAATACTCAGGTGGCTGCCATAGCACTAGGGCCATAGACCACGCACCCAGAGCAATGGGCGGAACCGTTAACAAACGGAACATGAGGTGTCTGTCTCACCTCCCAGACACCTCAACTCACCCCTTCCACCAGCGACACCCTGCAGCTCCCCAGACACAATCTGAGACTGGGTCTGTTGTACGCTGTCATATAACCTAACCTTTCTTAGCTCCCAAACATCCGAAATAAAACCTTTAACAAGGCGAAGCAAAGAACCAAATTTATCCTCCCACAGCTCACTACCCAATATAAAGGATGCTTTCCTGAAACTATCAAGCGACTGGAAATGCTCAAACCCATCATCCCCAAGCTTCTCCTGCAGGGCAACTAAGAAATTGCTCCCAAGACTACTATATGCTGGAACTCCCACAACACATGACTCACACTTTCACACTCATCATCACACAACAGGCACTCCTTTATCCCCTCCCTCCCCCTATGCCTACCGAGTTCCTCATTTAGCCCATGCGTGCCTGACCTGAACTTAGACATTAATCTAGACCCAGCATCACTTTAACACGTTGCACGCGTTTATTGCGTACACATGCAACGTTGTCCACGCGGAATTATTTAAATCGCGCGCGCGCACACACACCCCTTTTTACGTAATATTTAAGCGGCCACTATAGTGGCCCTCCGCGTAGCGCGGAGGAAGATTAACGGCCATTATACTGGCCTTCCGCGCGCAACGAGTTAATAATATTAATAATAATAATAATAAAGAATAATGCTCAAGAAGTGGCATAATTTACTCAACCCTACTATTCATTTTCTGCCTAGTTGTGAAGCCCCATGCAGCCTAGAAAGACAGCTAGGGAGCTAGAAAGGTTCAAGGCTGCTTAGACACAAACTTTCAGCCTTCATTTTTTGGGCCGGCAACCCCCCTTTTGTACGCATGCTTGGTTGTTAAAAACTTTTTGTGCAAAAACCAGCTTGCTGTTCAGTTGCAGGTGGGATTTCATAAATATGTAATGAATAGGGCTAGCAAATAACTTTTACGATGTCTAAGCGATATAGGTTGCCCGAAGCACATACACTGTTACAGAGAGAAGCAGATACAGCTGAAGTGCTGCAGCAGCCAAAATATGGACTTGGTCGCTTTAAATCCACTAAAACGTTTTGGGTGATGGTAAGATGCACTTACAATGCTCTTCCACTTTCGATCCCTGCAGTGGTAGTTCAAAGCATCCATGAACCTGTCCAAGATATACATCCTCACTGCAGATGTAAGTACACATTGGTAAAAACAATAGCAATGCACATATTGGCTACTTACTTCTGTTGGAGATCCCACCACCCAAATTATGATCCAGATTAAAAGGATCTGTATAAAAAATTTAATTCTAAATTTTAAAGGTACTCAGTGAGTTAGACGTACGTACCTTCAATGCACATGGGTTTGCCCATCCACCACTTGTCAAATTTCGACAGTGGTTCTTTCTGCTTCATAGTTACCACATTGAAGTTCCAGTTGAACTCGGTTGTATAGTACCTGTATATACTAGTGATGTAACAGACCATCACCCACAAATATGAAAAAAACCTTAGCATGCCAAGCCACAGCTCTGCCGTAGTACTGGTGTTTGTGTGGTAGCTCGGCCATACCTGTTTCTGCAAACAAAGAATTACAGAGAGATTTGTGGTAGCAATAGTTTACCACTAAAAGTATGGTGAACATAATTGCTATATGACCTAACCAGGTCCTCTATTGTCGTGAATCTATAATAGTAGCAATCCCAGTCATCTATAACATGTCCCTCAGTTTTGACACCGGGTGGTTTCAACTGGAAAATGAGAGGCAGCAAAAACTAAAGTAAAGGCATGGTCGGTTGGATCAGGCTTGCTAATGGTTGCATTCACCTGTTGCAGGACTGGTATCACAGGAGGTGTGACATTCTGGAGGTAGTGCAGTAGCATGAGGATGTAGGCATAGGAGGAGAGACTTCCACTTGCTGCGTCACATACATCGCATGACTGGAGGAGAGATACGTACTCTACGTACATAATCAACACTACAGTACGTACGTATACACCATACCTTAGCGAGTCGTTTGAGAGCACAGCCGAGTTCAGGAACACGGCTGTCAATCATGGTGTAGGCAGCCAGCAACTTTGTGTTTCTTAGAGCCTGCGAGGTGTAAGCTTGGTGATACAGTCATAGGTCTCCAAAACTCATTGTTACAGAAGATACTGTTCTAAATTCTAAACATACCTAATGTTCTAATTATTGCTCACCCAAAACCAAAGTACAAACACTCACCAGTTTGTTCTCCAGGCTGATATCACACTGCATTTTCCTGCAAGAAAACATTTTGAACAGTGATACACACTCTGGCTCTATGCTGTTGGGCCTTAAACTCCAAAAAACCAATAACAGATGCAACACTAGAAAGCACTAAAGTGCAAACCCTCGGCGCAACGCTGGCAAAGTGTATTGTAGGCTGCAGTGTACAGTACGTATGCGCATAATTGATGGACTGGGCCACACACGCTGGGCCACACACGCTGGGCCACACACGCTATGAGGTTGGTGACAATGTTCATGTTCAAACTTGCTGACCTTCATCGCCCGTTAAGTAGGTCGTATCGTTTGTGAGACTAACAAACGTTGGAGAAGTGAGATATAGACACACACACAGACAGACAGACAGACAGACAGACGACCCAACTACCGTACCTTCGCTGTGCATGCGCGCCGAGTGTAATGAGTAGTTAAGCACCACCACAGTTCTTACCAGTTTCCCATAACAAACTTGACGATGGGAACCCGGGCACTTGTGATGGGAAACACTTGCTCATATTTCCCTACGGAAACATGTGCAACAGGTTCAACAATGTCCCACTTCATGTATATACGTAACATACTTCTTTTTTTCTTTATATCTTGTGCAATTCGCTCAATAATCTCTGCTCTTGATTCCTTCATTGGCAAAGTGATTCCACCATTGAGCATACAGATTACAGATCAGTTTCAAAGTCATATGGTACACACAGCAGCACTAATGTTTTAAGAATACCTTGTCATGATCAGGTATAGTCAAGCAGATGTCCAGGTCACTACTTTTTGAGCCAAATCCATTAGCAGAGGAACCAAACATTTCCAGCTTGGCACCTACACAGAGAACAAACTCTAAGCAAGCAGGTGTCATTATATTTATGGCGTTTCATGATGTAAAGTGATGGCAATGCCTATAACATCCCGGAAAAAGGATACTATCATTATATAGCAACGAAAAGCACTAAAGTGCAAACCCTCAGCGAACTACGCATGCACGGTACCGCTATTGATGGGCTGGACTATTTGTAGTATATATGCGTTTACTCGTGGTCTCCCGCTAGTAGCTCGCGGAAAGTCGGACACGGGCTAGCTACAGTAGTAGATAGCATGCGGAAGTCGATACACGCCCTTCGTTGTGACTTCATGTGCCTTCAAGATACACAGAGCAAGCGGACCCGGTCGAAGTAAGCTTGTTCACTTGGTTTTCACGCCATAACTTTAGAACGCAGTATTTTACAAAAATTTTCATTTTACAAATGAAGCCAATGTGGCGCTGAACCTGTTGGTGCCGCTTTTTGACCAGTTTGTTGCGCGTGGTGGCAGAAAACGTGGTAACAGACACACACACAGACAGACACACAGACCAACTACTATAACCCTCTAGTGCATGCGCGCCGAGGGTTAATAAGAGAGATATGTGTATTACAAATGTATGCACCAGATCACTGCGCTCCTCTATGCGAAGTGAGTGTTGTTATACAAAACTGGTCAGAAGGCTACTTTGCAAATGAGAGTGGTACATAAAACTTGGTACACTCTGTTTGTGCATGAGCCGAATAATCCTCAATACACATCACGAAAATTGTGGCCATCTAGTAAGATGTAATACATGCTCAGAGCTGTGTACTTCTTAGAGGGACAACCGACCACGAAGCCGGCGGAAGTCTGAGGCAATAACAGGTGCTTTGCTAGTCTAGCACAGCAACTACCGTGTACTGCCTGTGGTTCATTCAGTGTGAAGAGAGTTTGTATTTCAGTCATAAATATGGGACATCAAAGTACGTGCAGGAGAGTTATTGAAGCGGGCTACATCAGAGAGTATACAAATTACAGATAATGACGAAGAACACACAGAAATCCAAGCGCAATAAGGAACTGCAGGAATGTTGTGGGTATTCGGCACAAACAACAATGTGAAACCACAGGTCACATTTGAGGCATGCTAGCATCTAACGCTACACAAACATCAACCAGCACCTTCCAAACAAGCAACGGAAAAGTTGTGATGATTCTGAGAGTGTTAGCCTTTATTATGCAAACATTAACACCTCGACAGATGTTAAAGTCTTCCAGGGGCTAGGGGAAAAAGCGAATGTAAACCACCAATTACGTAGTAATTATAATAGTTCAAGTAAGGTACAGTAAAAATACACAATACGTATGTATAAAATGTGTGTAACTGTATCACTGGTTTAATTGTGGCATGCAGCTAGACTCACTCTTAACATTAAAGAACTACGTACGTAACACTCGGTATGCTACAGTACTACTGATTGTGGATTCCACCCGTATTTTAGAAAATCGTCTGAGTTGAAGAAAAAGTCCGAGGATTATCACAGTAAAATTCAGTGGTTGCTTCTTGAGAGACGGCGAAATAAACAACAATCAAGCAAATTTTGTCCTTACGTGGAGCGGTGCTGAAAATGCGGTGAAAAACACTTTCGTCGTAAGCTTTGTATTTCACAGCCTTCTCTCCAAAGCAAGTTAATTCATGCGGCTTTGCAAAATCAGTTCGACTTGCAACCCCAACTTTACAGTTGTCCATTAGTCTATTTGTAGCCGCACAACGTGGGTGGTGGTATCGCCCACCGTATCTGTGACTTATGTGGACTTCAACTGGCATTATTGCTTTCAGCCACTCTTTCCCATTTGCTAGTGTGGCAGCTCCGTGGTGTGCCATCTTGTAGTGAGTCGCATTCAGAAATGGATTGCCAGCCATTTTCTCTGCAGTTGGTCCTCCATATCACCAGTAAAGAGTAGCGAAGATTTGCAAGTCTCACAATGAAGTTTCATTAACATTCCCCTCTCGTTTGCATTACCAGATTTCAGATTTCCAGGCAGCAGATCGAACCATATACTACTATTGCTACAGAAGTTCTCCCTCTTAGCACTTGCCAGAAATTGAACTCTGCCTGCAATATTTTTCAGCAAATTCCTTAGATCACTAGGATAGTCAGCTTCTTTGCCACCCAAGATAGTTGTAACGTTACTTTTTAATGGAATAGTTATCACATATGGGTTAAGGACCTTTCTGATCATATTGTGGTGATCAGCATGACCGTGGGATATAAGAATTGCAACAGATTCGGCATTGCTAAACGGTGAGTGGATGAGGTTGTATTCTTTGTTATTTTTCGTGAAATTGTTCCCTCCTGTGCTACCACAGTCAAAGAGAATAACATTCTTTCCTCCATTGCAAGAGATGATATTACAATCTCCCTGGCCTATTGGTATTGTGTAAACCTTCACAAGAAGATCCCCAACGTTTGCATTTGTAGTAGCAGAGCTGATTGTGTTTCTATTCGTAAACAGTCTGAGGGGCATTTGTTGGGTGCTAGAGATTTGGTGTGGGGGAGTGAAGCATTGAGGTGGTAAGACACTTCCTGGTATCTGTCCAAACAACTCACCTGCTTCACACTCTCTTTTTCTTTTTTGACGTAGTAAAACATTGCAGCGTGGGTGCTTTATTCCCGGACTTAGGCTACACACGCCACTCTCAGTTTTTATAACAGCTAACATTTGTGTGCATGGAACGAGCTCCTTATCAACTCTCCCACCACTTCTTTGATGTAGCTGCCGTTCACAGTATTTGATTGCATCACGGATGAATGGTTCGCACGTTGGAAGAGATTGTTGAAGACCATTTTTGGCAATGAAGCTGATGCAGTACTTAACTTTCTCAAAGTCTTGAACTTTGATAGAGTCAACTGGTACCGTTTCAAATTCATCACTGTGTAGCATATTCAGCATATTATTATGATACTCAGTGGTTTGTACAAGGTCAGGTTCACTGAAAGACATATTCACTACATCGATGAAAGAGCTGATCTCCGGGGGTTCAAACACACCGCTATCTTTCTCGCTACTTGTCAGAGTGACAATAGCAAAAACCACAACATACACTACGAGCTGCTGCATGGTTGGTACTGGACGGTAAGTGAGAATACACAAACCAGCAGAGTAGATTTATGAGGACGCAAACCCATGCTAAATTCCACACAATGATGATGAGGAATTTTATTGCAATTCTCTACAGTGCTGTGTGGGGAATAAGTGCATGTGCTCTCTTACACGATAATGAGTGGGAAACAAGGTCCAGTGGAGAATAATGGAAAAACTTCCATCACATATTGACATACTAAATACTATATATTATGTGTAGCTTACATGGGTAGAGACCAGTGATATCTGCAAGAATAGACCTCAATATTTCTTGACGCATCAGGATATCAGCTTCATCTGGCAGCTCCATTCCTATGTACAAGTAGCAGGTACTCTGTTACCTTAGATAATGCAGCAATACGTGCGCTTGTGCAGCAATGGTTAATTGGCGAGCGGGAGCGAGCCAACCTAGTCGTTCGTTCGAGCGGAATTTTCTATATATATATATATTTATTTATCGTACTTCGTACGTCGTGTAAGTGCGCATGCGCGGCTTTGTACGCGCTTCTTTTTATCCGAAACTATTTCCAAATTTTTACACATTTTCGCACCCGGTGCCTTGCGATATGCGCCGATCGATCTGGGCAGCTAGAGAACTCTCCTGCATTCGACGGCATGCCCTGCAACCTTCGTTGACTGACCGAGGCTGTACCTCTTCCCAATCTTCATAGTTCGAAGGTGCAACTTCCTAATAAGCTAGGCTTGCTCGTGCAGATACTGCTGCATGCCTGCTACCTGGTGGACCACGACTGACGGGTTGAAAGCGTAAGGTAAGTATATACCGTTCTGCTCACCTGCTCACCGTTCTGCCAATGTACAATACGCATGTAACGGCGACAGATAGATCTGTCATGCTTCACGAAAGGAAAGCTGTGCACTGACGGCACGTTATGCAGCCCGAACATCGCGGGAAAATCCCAAGTTGGGTCGCTCCCGCTCGCCAACAATGTTCAACATTTCCACTAGTGTAGTTTCTCTGTGTGTATCTGTCAACATTCTGTGTGTGTGTCAGTCTGCCTGTTTGTTTGTAAACAATGCAAGCCACATCTTAATATGCTTCTGCTCATTATAAATGCATACACCTGTAGCAATGGTTCTGCACTCCGGGCGCGTGGTTTATGGCTCTTGAGCTATGACTGCGACTTGATTATTAGAGCCTACTGATGTGGATGCTAGCAAACCTCGGTGTGCATGCACAGGTAGTGTTAAGTACGTGTGTTTTGGTTGGTCAGTCTGTCTATGGCTATACTAGCATTACATGCTACAATGCAACTTAAAAGCAATACTTAAAAAAGGCAAATTTTTTGGTGGAATGACTGTGTTACGGGAGACATGCCAAAATGTGCATAAAAGGCAGTGGCTGACCTCAACAAGGTTTAGTGGTACCCTTAGAAACCAGGTATTTCCTATAGTACGCGTGTGCATACGTGGAATTTTTGTGCATTGGCAATCTCCCGCTGCTCCCACTATGCTTCAGGGGGGTAAAAAATGATTTTAAAAACTTCATGGCTTGAATTCTACTATGCCAAGGAACAAATTTTAGGATTTTTAGGCTTTATATTAATATATTCATGACTTCGGGTCCCATAAATTACTATGGGAGCGGAAAAATGGACATGAAATAGAAAAAAACATGCACGCATTCGTGCATATGTACGTGTGCAATTGCGTTGTGTGCATTCTACTGTGTTATTTTGACAATTTGGTCCTGTTCCATGTAAATGTAACTGACATGCATGAAAAAGGAACAGGACATGTAGGAATTTTGGGCTCCCAAAAAGGTGTCAAACTAACACTGTAGAATGCATGTGACGCAATTGCGCAAATAATGCGCGAATGCCTAAAAATCTGAAAAATATTCCTTGGCATCGTAGAAATTCAACCTACGTATAAAGTTATTTTTCTCCATAAGCCCAGGCCTTTCCCCATCTTTCATACAAATTTCCCAGGCACAATTATTAGTATAATCATACGTAATTATGACCTTACTCATGTTTTCAGCGAAGCAACTGCTGATGCATTTCAAATAAAAACTGCTAGGGTACTTGTCTGGAAGCATTTCTTTATACTTGGATGCCAGGTCAAGCTCAGGACACTCCTGGGAGTGAAACATATATGGATGCATAAAATACTACTCACACATTCACACAAACACTAACCAGTATTGTGTGCTTCAGTTTCTTACAGTTTAAACATGCCAGTGGATATTCCTGAAGGGGAAAAAAAGCATGATCATACCATTAAAAATTCATAAGATATAATGTTTTGCTCATTATACCAACCTGAAAGACAAATTCTTCCCTAGCAAACACGAGAGTTTTCCTTGAATTACAAGGATCATTGTCACACTCTTGGAAGGCAGTGGTGGAGGCTTCATTAGATGACAATACTTTGGGAGACGAAGATATCTGTGTAGATTCCTCTTTGTCTGCCTCTTTTTGAGAAATCTGACCCTCCGCCGTGATGGCCAGACCTTCAAATTCATCTTCAACACACTCCGTGGGACAAGCCTTGTCAGAGGGCATCGTTTGTGGTGCCACCTCATGGGTGCACCCTGACTCATGGCAAGGATGAAGGTCTCCTGCTGCCTGCTGGCCAGATGCCTCTGAGGGTTGCTTATTGAGGAAAGTGAGGTCCACAGGTGAATGGACATCCTCTTGAGACCGTGTGCTGGCTACTAGGACAGATGATGAGACGGAAACAATGCTGCTGTCCTGGTGCTCAATACTCCCTCCCAATCCCTCCCTCTCCCCCCTCACGACTTCTGTTTTCTCATGTCCACCTGACGACCTTGATCCACCACAGTCCCTGTGGTAGAGGTCATGTACTGGTTTAACAGTCATGATTATTGTGTATGTTCACTTACGTATTATTCCAACTAATGCTGGCAGATGACGTATCTAGATAAAACAGAGAGTTGTATAACACTATACATCCCAATTAAAGATCAAAAATATTACACGATCAAGGACAAAATTGAAACAAAATCCCCTGAATAGTAAAAGTATCTGCACACTCAGCATACATAATAATATAGTATATCGCAGGCGAACCCACTTCATAAAATGTGTAGCAGCATCATATTACATCGATCATGGCAAGCATCATGTTTTCTTCTTAGAGCTCTGGCGTGAAACCAACCCTAAAACATCAACATGTTCAATGAGCTGGGCAGGCATTAAAGGCTCTCGGAGGACAAGTATCCAGCGTTACCCAAATGTTAGCCCCTGTTGGAGTAAGAAATTATTGACTCCATCGACGAGTTTGACTGTCTGGTTTGACACACCCAATCATTTTGTGGATATTCATTGATAATCTAGCTTGCTGCTACGTGCAACACGCACATATTTCTTAGTAACAAGGTATGTGTCAACAGTTGTATGCTAATGTATAGGTATGTGTCTCAAAATGATGATGGTGTTCAGTTGTGAGTCTAATGGCAGGCAAATCAGAGTCTCTCTTTAAGGACCGCTGGTAGTGGCTGACTGTGTCTAGGTTCAACTGAATATGCCCGGATTTTATGTCAAAACTTTAGTTAAGATAACATAAACACCTGTAGCCAATATATCCTGCGAGGTACGTAGATGAAAGGAAAAGTAAAAGGAAGAATAAGAATAACTTCACTTCCTATTATCTGCAGGGATGTTTCAGTGTCTGCGATTAGACTGATAAACCTCCAAGAAATCCCAAATGAGAGGATTAAAACAATGTCCACCGTGTTATAAACCTTTGACTTGTAGGGCTGTGCCACTGCCACCATCATACCAACAAGAATTGAGGCAATGGAAATGGATGCCAGTATAAGAACATTTTTGGTGAAAGTAAAATAACTTACGTATGCAGAACAACAGTGCAAGATGGTAGACAACTCCAAAGTAGCGACAAATTCGTTTACCATTAGTGCCTTCTTTATAAAAGCAAGAATATTGTCCATAAAAGGGAACATTAACTGCCGAATAGACGCAGGAAATATATTAAGTAGTACTTGGGCCCTTGGAAATGAATAGATCAGCATCAAAACAAGAGGTAGAACATTGCAAAACACAGTCACAAGCACAGCAGTTATTAACAAAACAAGATGACTGCCTCTGAGTGGTAAGTAGGTATACCACACAATGGAACTTGTGTCACTTCTCCAAACATGCATGCGCAGAAAACACAGTAAGTGTGTTTGCATGTTGATTGACAAGCGTTGCCGAATGACCCAATGTTAGTAACGGGATTTCTAGCCGTTGTGGCCAGTGCTGTCAATTCCGCGCACAGTGATGCCAGTTTTTTTTGCCGTTTATGCCTCCTTTTCAAACTAATTCAGGTACCAATATCTCGAGATCTGGCGATTTTAGTGTCGAAGATGACGACGACAGACATACAGACCGATCACATAACCCCTTGCGCGAATGTGAGCGACAGGGTAATAAAAGCCACAGTTGTGTTGTGCATAATGGCAGAAAATGTGGTAATAGACACACAGTTAGTACTGTGACCTTTGCTATGCATGCACACCAAGGTTAATAATATTGTGACTTATCAAAAACACAATGCTGATCTTCTTCCTTCCATTGTCTAACACATTCTGGATATGCACATCCCATGCACCAGTACTAGTAAAATCAACACCCAAGTATGTCTATTTAGAACACCAACAAAGTCATCTGCAAACAAAAGTCCTCCAAGTCTCCCACCACTACTTAAATCGATCACAGTCTCAGCTTCCTCTACATCCTCAACAACCCATTGATAAACACGGAAAACGATAAGCTACATCCCCGGGCTACCCCCTGCTCCACATCAAATGCCTCTGACCATTCCCCATCCAACAATACAGCACTCTTTGATAACTCATACATCCTCTTTATGACCCTCCACATCTTCCCTCTGACCCCAAATTCCCACAACTTTACCCACAGGTCGTTATGCCACACACTATTGTACGTAGTATACCATCTGCACGTCTAGAAAGAATGCATATGTCTCCTTCCCCTCCTTTAGCCTACCCTGCACGAGTTAGAGTTAGAGTATGGGAGTGAGGTGTGGGAAGCCAATAAGACTCAGGCAGCTGCGTTAGAGTCTGTTATGCTGGGAGGAGCTAAGCGCATTCTTGGGTGTTCATCTAATGAAGCCGTTAGAGGGGATATGGAGATTGATACATTACAAGGGCGTAGGTATCAATGAGAGGGAGATTAGGAAGTTTGAAGAGGGGTTAAATAGCAAGTGATGCTGGTCTAGATTAATGTTTAAGTTCAGGTCAGGCACGCATAGACTAAATGAGGAGCTGGGTAGGCATAGGGGGAGGGAGGGGATGAAGGAGTGCCTGTTGTGTGATGATGAGTGTGAAAGCGTGAGTCATGTGTTGTGGGAGTGTCCAGCATATAGTAGTCTTAGGAGCGATTTGTTAGTTGCCCCGCAGGGGAAGCTTGGGGGTGGGTTTGAGCATTTCCAGCCACTCGATAGTTTCAGAAAAGCATCCTTTATATTGGGTAGTGAGCTGTGGGAGGATAAATTTGGTTCTTTGCTTGGCCTTGTTAAAGGTTTTATTATGGATGTTTGGGAGCTACGTAAGAAAGGTTACGTAGGTTACAACGGCGATAATCCCAGCGTACAACAGTCCCAGTCTCAGAATGCGTCTGGGGAGCTGCAGGGTGTCACTGGTGGAAGGGGTGAGTTGAGGTATCTGGGAGGTGAGACAGACACCTGTGTGAGTGTATGTTCAATTGGTGTGTGTTCGTTTGTTAATGGTTCCGCCCATTGCTCTGGGTACGTGGTCGATTGCCCCAGTGCTACGTATGGCTGCCACCTGAGTATTATTATTATTATCAAAAACACAATCTTAAAGTAACGTGTGGTTAGATACATAATATTATGGCATATGTATCTTTTGTTCATTAAAGAGATCAATTTTGAGGATTACATGGAAACAGTAATGGCTGCCTGTACATTTGTACGTTGGAAAAGTGAAGATGGATCTTGTTACGGTAGTGAAATAGGAGACGATTAGCCTTACAAACACTCTTGTATCCAATGATTGCTACAAAGTATAGGAGTGGGAGGGTGAACGGAGCAACACACCTCACTCTACTTCCAGTCTTTTCAAGCGTTGTGACACGATTAGCAAGCAAAAATGCTATTCCACCACTAAAACCCAAGCCAACCTAAAGGATCAGGAAGACATCAACTGTGTTGTAAATGTTGGACTTGTACGGTCAGGCCACTGCAACTAGCATTCCTACCAAAATGCAGGCAAAGGTAATGCACCCCAGTATAAAGGCATCCTTGGTGAGAACAAAGGAACCTATGCAAAACAACAATGCAAGATGATAGACAACTCCAAAGTAGCGGAAATTTCTTGTTCCATTAGTGCCGTCTTTATAGCATGCTAGAATGCTGTCCATAAAAGGAAGCAGAAGTTGTTGAAGTGACACAGGAAAAATATTAAGAAGCGCCTGACACTTGGGAAATGAATAAATCAGCATCAAAACAAGAGGTAGAACATTGCAAAACACAGTCACAAGCACAGCAGTTATTAACAAAACAAGATGACTGCCTCTGAGTGGTTCTTTAGAACCGTCAAAGTAGGTATACCACACAATGGAGCTAGTGTCACTTCTCCAAACCTTTGTTACTGTCAACAAATTTATTGTTGTATTCAAAAACTTTACAGAAGACAAGGCGAAAAATGTTCCAAAGGCATCAATCAGAGACGTACGGATGTCCAAACGATGACGGAAGCGAACACAGCAGTGATGAAACAGTCGCCCAATAAAGACAATGGGTCTCAAGTTGCGACCGTACAACTCCACCATTCCATACATGATGCTGATGAGTAGCAAAGGATAGACAGCAATGATGTAATCTAGTGCCATCACATGAAGTGTTGTGAGACTGGAATGCAAACAAAACGAGGAGTATACTGAGCGAAAGAAGTCCAAGTTCCATATACCATACACCGAACTCAATACCTTTACAAATGGGAATGTGGAAGCAATTGGGTGGACTTCTTCTATGGCTATCAGCAAACGCATTAGGATATTACAAGATAGGATCTGACAAGATAGGATCTGACAAGCAAGGATCCAGCCACGAAGAGGGGCAGAGTTAATGCTAACTGTGAATGTTACAATGACTGCCAAGAAAACTGTCAGTGGACCATATGCTACAAGAATGTAGAGTGGGACAGTAGTCCAGAGGGACTCATTGGCACATGGAACACATTTCAGGCTGAAAGAATAGGCTGGCATTCCATAGCCTTCTATACACTGACCACAAAGGGCTCCATCACGGTTGAATCGAAAACAATATTTATTCGCTAGAGAAAAGTTTGCCTGATAGTACATATACGGAGTTTTGCCCATTAGGCAGCCATAAAAGCATCTTCCAAAAATGAAGACTGGCTGTGAATCAGTGGTGAGGCAATAGCAACGTTGCACATAAAACAAACTGCACAATTTGTCAGGTATGATAACCGTTTCCTTCAGCAATATATTCCATGATTCAGGAAGATTACAGGTGTTGAGTACATCACTGTAACTACCAGAAACAATACGATTCTGCTCATCAGAGACATGGTAAATAGGCCTGTCATTTCCAAGGTTTCCAGTCACCATTAATGCTAATACAACTAAAACGTACTCAGGACGAACCATCACTGCTGGTGACAATTGGCTATTGTACCAACGTACTGTACGCACGTAAGTGTGCATTTACGTCAGTTCAGACTATAATGTATTCACTTGAAGCTCTCTGGTGCAATAGCATCCATTACAAAAACCTGTGAAGTACGTATTTGCTTTCAGGTTTTCTGGTACAATAGAAACCAAATGCATCCGTTACAAAACAGTTACTGTAAAGATAAAATGTAAACAACTGTAATGCTGGACACCATGGCCAGAAATTCTTCTGGCCAACTATAGAGTGTCGGGCAGACAAATTCAGTGTTGTCACAAAAAACAGGGCTAAAGCATGTAGGGCGGCTAGGGTGGCTATTTTTAGTGTTACATACCATCACGTTTGACATTGTTTCTAAAACTTTGTGACTCAGTCAGAGTTGTGGATGACGACGGGTCACTGTAGACATTGAAGTAAAGTGCAGTGAGCCTCAAACTGCCCATCAGGTAGCTGTACACTGTTCATGAAGAAACATATCCATATGTACACCAAACTTTACACAAATGAAGCTACAGAAACACTGCTATAATAGCTAGGCTAGGTGCTAGAGTGCTAAGGCATATATGTACGTATATGCTGTCAATATGCATTCTCCTTGGAACCACTGACTCTACCAGTAGCTTCTTATTGAAAGGAAGTTACTGGTAACAAAGAGCTCGGTTTTAGTGCACATTGTTACCTTGCACAGTATATACGAAGGCATGTACAGTTCACACTGTTTGCAGGCAATAGCACCTCCCTTCTTAGCAAACAGCTAGACCCAAAGGCTTGCAAGAAGTCTGCTGGTGGTTGAGACCAGTGGAAGTTCGCGAGAGCCCAGGTAAAATGGGGATTGCACTTGCACCTTAATATTGCCTTGTGGTGCAACATCTAATTCCTAAGAGAATGTACCTATGTGCTGCTTTCTCCTACCTGCTTTACCATATAACTTCCCCCATACTTTACGCCAACACCCAGGCCTCTGCCCTCATAGCAAAAAGAACATTAACAAAGTCTTTGTAATCCTAGGCATAGTGTAGTTTAACTGTTACTGTATCATTGTACATATGCACACACGTGGTAAAATGGCACAAAATGGACTGACAGTGTGTGTGTCATGAATATACCTAGATTAGAGGTTGAGCCTCTTCCAAGATTGCTGTTAAATACCATGGGATCTGCATTTAAAACTCCAGTTTAGTGATGATAAAATCTCGGAGTTAGTGACCAACCTTCCACAGCTAGTCTAACATCCCCCCATTGTCGGGACTTTCTCAAAAGAGATTGCTTCTGGCGAATGCTCACAGCGTGTTCCTGGACCTTGAAATCAATTGCATAGTACCTGCACAAAATTATTACAGAGTTATAAACTAATGAACACAGGCTAAAACGTGACGTGTACTGATGACATATCTAAACGCAGCGCACAATATGCAAATGCTTGATAACTGCATCCGATTTACATTGTACATATTTGTGCATGAGAACATAACATTTCATGCTTTTTTACGTGTAAGATACGCAATGTGTTAAAGTTGACTAAACTTCATATTCTTACATGTACATTCAGTCCCAGTGGGGCCGGATTAAGTAACTCCATACTGTATGTATATATACACACATGTGCTTACATAAGCAAACCAAGCCAGAGTTCCCCCAATGACTGATGATTTGATGTTTCCCACTGGCTGGACAGCTCACTCACGAGAGAGAAATAATCAACCTTGTACTGCTTCCTCTCCCCTACTTTCTCCTTTGCATCCTTCTCTGCCCCATCATCTTCCACTTCATCACCACCGGCCGCCCTCCCCGTCTCAGATTCTTCAAACACGACAATGTCGTCTTCATCCCCTTCCCCCTCCCCAACCCCTTCCTGATCAGTCCCTCCACTGCTGTCTTTATCACCAGGCTTCGTGCTGTGCTGTGGTGTGGGTGCTTTGGTTTCTGGACTTGTTGGCCCGCTTCCACTTTTACCACTGTACTTTTTTGACTTTCCTGTCTTTTCCTTGTACAGCTGTACAGAACAACAATGGCAGGCATGTAAACCCTGAATCAGGTATGATTCAGATGGTATAAAGAGGCACCTCATGAAGAATAGGAAGAACATTGATTTGCTGCAGGAAATGAATGACCATCAACACAAACATGTGTCCAGGGTAGTGGCCGCTCTCCTGGCTGTCAAGACCACATATCTGAAAAAGAAAAAAAAATTTTTTGCCTGTAGCATAGTGGCAGCACATCCAGAGTTCAAATTTCGGAATCGCCACTTTCCCCTTTTTACCAAACTAAAACTATTCTTGTAGCCCAGTAGGCACCTAAATCAAAGGCGCAGGCAAGGCTCTTAGTTCTGCATACCCTGCTATGTGGAATGTTAATATTATATAACCTGTGGTCATGCATAAATATTATTAACCCAGGCACGGGGTGTATTAGCAATGAATATCATTGTATAAATCTGCAGTTGGGCAAATGAAACTACATTAAAACGGGTAGTTCCTCGGCGCTGGTTTGACATCATGGCGGCCCAGTAAACATAGCGCAGCGCGCGAGCGAGTCACACCCAGAGCTTGAAGCGGAGCCTGTGCTGTGACCGCCGCTACCCACGAAAATGCCACGGGAACACTACGCTCAGGTATGCTCGAGAATAGCAAGCTCTTGGTTGCTCCAGCCGGGTTGCCATAGCCAACCACGAGCTACGCTACAAGCGGCGCTGAGAAAATATCTCCACGGTCCGCACACCTGGGCTTACCTCCCCGGGAGCAATAGGTCCTCGTGCGTTGGATATGTCTTTCCCAAGCCATGACACCTTCGCAAAACGCTCCAGACGGCCATGATGCACATGTATTCAAAAGCGAACCCGCCAAAACACTTTTATGCAACAGCACTCAAACCGGTTTTGCTGGACTACAAACCAGTTATAGCAGGCCAGTTGCGGGTCGTGGAGGAATGCAATTACTAAAACTCTGCATTCCATTAAATCCACACAGCCCACAAATAACCCAATCGGGACAGGACTATGTGGCCCTTCCCTCATTCTTCAATCAACTCTCCAGAATCCGATAATTTTCCATGCTACTGATGGAGTGATCCATACATACTGTACATAGAGGTATATACATACCCTGGCCCAGAGTCTGAACAGGACAGCAAGTTGGACACAGCGGACATCAATCTCACCATAGAGTTTGAGGAGTGAGCACAAAGCAGCTGGCTGGGGTGAAAAGGAAACACATGCGAGGGATAAGTCTATCAGTGTACAGCAATAGAGTTAGGTTTGGGGGCAAAATCATGTCGATTTAGTGGTGAGACAATTCCTGTAAGAGTTTACTTACATTTCCAGCTTCAATACGTATTTCACACTTCAGCTTACTGCAGAAAAAAACATACGTACACTTAAAGAGAACATAAATTAACAACATAATTTTGCGAGCTATGCAACAACGTGTATGGAACATGATTAAACAACTGTATGTGATGTTGTGTTTTGTCTAGTGTGAGCTACGTAGTGATGACTTGGTGGAACAGGTCAAATACGCAGCTGGCATTGCTGTGTTAAGTAGGTCATAATCACACCACTGTGTGTGGGCTCTTTTATCAGAGCATACCACACAAGTACAATGACCTTGCAATGCAAGCTAGTAAAATGAAGATAGGTTTTGCTGCAGAGTGAGGGGTGGAAAATCACAAGCCATGGTTAACAAGTAAGGTTCAGAAAAGGCCTTCATACTGTTAACAAGAGGACATGCATATATACCATTTTTGGTTTACCATACTTTGCAATGGACACCAGAATGTGGAACACTCTTTTGAAAGTAGTGTTTACTGAGCAAGGGTGTAAGGAAAAGTGTACTGCTGTGAATATACACATTTAAAACTAGGTAGACTACGACAAAGTGTGAATAGTCAGCTTGTTTCTGTGACTGTTGCCCACAAGCAAAGGTTCACAAGGATGACGAGGACAATACAAAAGAACACCGAGCAGGGCACAAGGCTGGAAAAGCTGTTGAGAATGCAGTAAAGTGGGACAAATCACACAGAAGAGTTGGAGGTCTACATAGGGTAAGGCTTGTACATGTTATACTACACACGATGAGTATATGCACTATTCAGTTTCTTTCTGCAAGTTTACTTTCAAATAAACTGCCCGACCAAAGCTCCCCCATGGAGTGCTAATAGGTGTAAAAAAACCAGCAGCTCCAGAGAAACTGCAACCATATAAAGTATGTACATGGTAGCCGCCCATTGTTCTTGTTGGCATGGCAACAGAATACATGTCACAACTTTGCTCTCACTATATTATCATGTTTTTACAACAAGAGGCCGTATGACTACTGGAACAGGGTTTGCAGGAAGAAAGCCTTGCATGAAAGAGTGTAAAGAGGCTTTGAAGTCCATCTGGTTTCCACATTCTTTGACCACCGCTAAGAATCCGATTATCTCGTGCTACTGCAAATTTGCTCAGTGTACAAGCACTAGGATGTTTGACTCCATGCACAACCACTTCTACCGTTCCGTTGGAATTAGCACTGATACTACAGCCTTGTAACAACTAGTTCCTGAGACAGAAAATAGAACCTTCTATGCCAACACATCTCCATCTAGCTTTTGCCCTCATTCGGCTATTTTTGGAGTACGCCTTAACCCAAAGACCTGCTCAGACTGGAACCCACTTCCTCTTTCTATAAGATCATCTGATTGCATCTCCTCCTTCAAGTCTTCTTTCAGAGAGTGGTTGAATATGTAAATTCTCAGTATACAGTCATGCACCACGTACTAGCTTACTGCTACTTGTGTATGATTCAGCGAAACAAAAAAAGGCGTCCCATCTTGGTTTCTGCCACTCAAGACGTCTGTATACCTGATATTCCTACCACCACAACTGAAGCTTCCCTTGGTAACACTCCAACTAACAGTAATATAGTAGATGATAATGTGTCACATTCACTTGTGCCTATTACGTAAATTGCTGCACGGGCGCAGGAGGCAGTGCAACGATCTATGGAGCAACGTCAGGCTAGATCGATTAAAGTTAATACAAAGGATTAACTGTAATTAACATGGGAGTAATCCTAGCTGGGCGGGAGCCGGGGGCCAAGGTGACGCATGCGCACAAGAGTGGCGGTCATTCCTGCACATGGCTAGCCAGCAGCTCAGCGCTCAAAGAAACTTAGCAAACAGAGCGGCAGTTCCAGTCTGATCGACGGCAGTATGTCCGGAGAAGAAGACGCAAACCCCTAAAGGGACAAAGGGGACCCACCGGAAGATGGAGAGGAAGACTTGTGCCAGTATAATATATGAGTTCATGCAGTTGTAGTAGCAACTCCCTTTATTCTATAGGGCTACTGCAATGCATCTCCCAATAGGGAACTGGTAGCCTGCACTTTACAATAACACCTGGCTGGCTCATCTTTTAAAACGAAGTGTTGGTGTTTGGCTAGAAACAATAACCGTTAGGAAAACGTATATTAACTTTGTATCACACTACGCAGCAGTTATAACAATTTTTACAGTCAACTCCGGGAACAGAGACTGCCACCATCTGTCGCAGGCTGTTGAGCGCAAGATGATCCCGCAAGAGGTGGCAAGCGTGGTTGCATGCTGGGTATTTGTACTTGTAGAGTTCTGCCCCGCGGTCCGACCAAAAAGCAAGCGCTATACATCGTACTGGGCAGGCAGAGTAATCCAAGTTATCGATGGTGCATCTCCGCCGGTGCATACCAGGCAGGTGTGGCTCGGGCCCTTCCAACTTCGCTCGCTACCATCCCACTCATCCCTCCCTCAGCACCGAGCAGTACACCGGGTCTGAAGGCACCCCCTTCCGTACCATCTACTCTTCCCTCAACCACAAGCACGTTCTCCTACACCAATCTCTACACTAGCAAAACCAAAGCCTCCCCCATTGAAGATCGCCAATAGCATTGTGCCCATCCCTACTAACAGGGTCGTAGCTAGCGGTGGGGGGGGGGCAATTACAATCTTCTCTTGCTGACTTCTTCCCAAGGTGAGTAAAGTACTGCATACTGTCAGCTACATTGCACCATAAACGTCCAGTACGTCCTGAATTTCAAAATTTTCTGGGGATACATGCCCCCAGATCCCCCTAGCGGGCGCGTTAACACATCCAGATGACGTTTCTTGCCCCCCCCCCTCACTTTAAACTTTCTAGCTAGGACTCTGACTAAGCTGGTCCAGTGAATCCAAGCCCATCAAAAATATGTGGACATGAGAGAACTTCTCCCATGCCTGGTGAGTCAGGGAGGGAGGGAGGGCGGCCGTTCCTGTGTGTTTGTTATAGCGCGACGGTTTGAGGTGTGTTGTCTAGTTTTTCTTTCGCGCCTAGCTGGCTCGAGGTGTGATATACTACAACATTTGGTATTTCACACCTAACCGCCTCGATCCCGGCGCGGCGCGTCGGCGCTCTAGAGGGGCAATGTCCTCCTGGGCATGGGCTCCGGGCCAGCCGGCCGCTGCTCATACACGGGGGAGAAGCTGCAGCCAAAAGGCCAAGAGAGTACCCCCAGGAGGTGTCACATACTGCAGAACCTCTACTTCGGCTGCGGAGGAGGCCCGCGTGGACCCAGCATTAATTTTAATTCTTGCTGATGAGGCAACTCTGGCAGGGGGTTGTTGGGGCTGATGGCAGCCCCGTACACCCCTCGCCGGTCCCTCCGGGGGTAAGGCAGCCGCCGAACCATTATATTATGAATGCTATTAGAGATTGGATCAAGGACAGGGGTTGCTACTGCTTCAACAGCCATGCTCATGCCAGATTTGAGTGCTCTAAATATACCAATGCCAGAGAACATAATCATTTTCCACCAGCTAAAATGAATGGAGGTGTCGAACTTGTGGCGAGAGACCAGTTCCTCCCCAGGTGTTGAATGTGCCGTGCAGAAACAGGGATAAACCACCCAAACGGGCAGTAGAACAGAGACAGAGAGAGAGAGAGAGAGAGAGAGAGAGACGTACATCTCTGCGCAAAAGGCAAGAAGGTCCCACAGATTACGCTGCACCCCACTTGACTTGCTATGATATCAGACATCTTGGAGATAGATAGCAAGAGTTGCTGCAGAAATCTTCGTGGGCGCAGGCTTGTGTGTATATACAATATGTCGTTCTTCAGATCAGTTCTCTCTGGAGTTGGCTGCTCACACATAACAGCTGTAACATTCTTCATCAACATACCATAATTATATCCCCCAGACCAGTGCACAACACATTTTACACAATACTAAAGACCAACAACACCATTCACCACCCCAACTGGGTGAGACAGCAGCTTATGCCCAAGAGTGTTGCAGTTTCTGTTTGTTAGTTATACACCTTGACGTAGTAGCTGTGAGTGAGAGCTGTTGCAGAGCCATTTTGCGTGAGGCTCAAAAGGGGGTGGGGCTCCCGCGCTATACACCCCCACACCCGCCGGCCACACATATATCACACGCACACGCAGGCCAGTAAATACGCCGCGGAAGATTCGGGAGCAGAGGTATGTTAGGCGCTCGATGCGATGCTCTTTTTACTTAGTTTTTTTTACTGCAGATGTCCTTCTGCTGCTGTTGCGCAAAAAGTAAATCATTTACAATTCTATTACCTAATACATTGACCTGGTTTATTCAGAAAGAACAGAACCACCACCAACGCCGCCGCGGAGGAGGGTGACGTTCACCAAAATGGTAAATATGCTCTCTCTTGCTTACTATGTCAACCCACTGACAGCCTTTTCAGATCCCATTCCCACCTTGTCATGCACTTTGCAATAATTATGCACGGAATAACTGTTGGAATTATTGCCGAGCGGGAGCGAGCAAACCTAGTCGTTCGTTCGAGCGGAATTTTCTGTGTATATAATATGTGACCATACACGCGAAAACCAGGCATAAAGTCGGCGAAATAGATTTTTAGTAAACCGCCTTACAAGTCGAAACAGCGGGTACCGCGCGATTCAGACTTTTTTAACGGAGAAGGACCTACATTTATCTAGAAGACAGCTACATACTTTAGAGCATCGAAACTCGCTTGCCAGGGCCGTGGCGGCGCCTCGAAGTAGGCTACGTCGAACTCCACGCGCCCGTAAACGGGCACAATACACGGGAATTACGCGGAGAAATTAATTTTACGGGCCGTCAAAAAAACAACTGCCTAACGAGGAGCTAGGGTTACCAACGATGCTAAAGGTTTATCTGCTACCTTCGTTGAGCCTGTCTTCTTCGTTTCCACGAGAGATAGCCTCGTTCCACAACCGTGCGAGCGGCTTTAGGCGGCGTGTCAACGCACGACGTATAACGGAGCGCGTATGCGGAAAAATTGCCGTTTCTCGGATCTCCAAGGTCTGACTCCCGGGTACAAAAGCAGCTATATCTCCAGAATGC